CCCGACACAAGGGACCAGGGCCTGGTCAATACACACTAAGGGATGGCGATTTCGACAGGTTCAATTTGGAACCTGTGGGATGGAGGTAGGCGTTCGCTAGTAGTGACCATGAACATGCATTCGCAGACCGCCCTGGATGGCTGAACTGGAGGAGATGAGAGCTTCTCAACGGGCTTCGTGACGGAAGTAGTCCCAAGCTGAGCCACAACCAGTTGACTTATTTGCACCATATTATGCTCCTATCTGCCGTCACTAAGTAGTTGTTGCGTTGTTCCTGGGAGTACGGGAAATTCTGCCAACTAACACAAGCTGCAAGTTTGAATACAATGAGACACCACTTGAAGTAATGGTCATGCCATATGTGTCCGCTCACGTAAAGCTCGGAGGTATTCCTTCATCTCCGCCTTCAGTCCCTTCTTGACTGTCTCCAATCCCTCTGCATTGACTCGATCCCTCGTGTCGTCCCTTTCAGCCGAATCACGTCCACAGACAACCGCACAGTCTTCGTTCTCGGCACTTCCGTTATGTACGTCGTCAACCCTTGGTGGCGGGTCGAAGTGCAGGTCGCGAGGCTTTTCTTCGAAGACTACATCCCCCTTTGATCCCAGCCATTCCTGGCCCTCGCTAGGAGCATCGTCTTCATCATTACACTCATCAACAGTCGAGTAAGGATCGGGTTCGGGCAAGTTGAGCTCTTCTCGCCTTTGACGTTGTATTTGCCGTAAGCCCGTGACCAGCTGAGCCATGGCATTCCTCTTCTCCTCCAAGTATCTACAATCGATGGTCCAACTCTAACGAGGATATTATCAATACGCTTTTCTGGCACTGATCTCTGCATTGGTCCCACCCTTCACGAAGGCTTCAGCGCCCGCCCTCTCCTCTCTACTCACAGGACTCTTATCGATGTATGTGAGGGAAGGTACAGCTGCGATGACCCGACGTCTATAGTGCCGCATTTGACGAACGTAGGGATTCCCTGATGAGCTCGTCAGAGGAGCACATTGGCCGACTCACCGTATGCATAGAAGTCGTTCAGTTTTGGACAACAACTCTGCAGAAAACTGATCAACTCCGTTCCGTTCTCCATTCCCTCTGTGGGTGATGCCTCCAACAGATTGTAGCTTACATCAAGACTCAGTAGCCAGGGTATCTGACCCACC